GGCCGGCGAATTTCTTTTGCGATAAATAGCGAGGTCGCGTAGGGCCGGCGAATTAAACATTGAGGATGTCCCTAGCGAAACGCTTGTTTTCAGAATTTGTTGAGGATGTCTCGAGCGGAACGCTGGTTTTGCAGAGTTGGGGATGTCTCGAGCGAAACGCTTGGTTTCAGAATTTGTTGAGGATGTCTCGAGCGAAACGCTGGTTTTGCAGAGCCGACCGCGACACGGAAAAGCGCCCCGCGCGCAGGAATTCCGAGGATGTCTCGCGCGTGCCGCGTCCCGCGCGCAGGAATTTCGAGGATGTCTCGACTAGTTCGTTTGTTTTGCTAGGATTTCCTTGAATTTTGGCAGGATGTCTCGAGCGAAATGCTTGTCTTTCATAATTTGTTGAAGACGTTTCGAGCGAAACGCTGGTTTTGCAAAATTGGGGGATGTCTCGAGCAGGGGCCTCGTGGGGGGCCTCGTGGGGGTCCAGAATTCAGAGGGTGTCTCAGGCGAAATGCTTGTTTTCACGTCCCGCTCGCAAGAATTCCGAGGATGTCTCGCGCGTGCCGCGTCCCGCGCGCAGGAATTCTGAGGATGTTGGCAGGATGTCTCGAGCGAAACGCTTGTCCCCAGCACGTTCCGTAGCGCGTCCCCTTGGCACGTCCCGCGGTGCGTCCCCATGGCACGTCCCTTGGCACGTCGCTTGGCGGGTCCCTTGAGACGTTCCGCGTCGCGTCCTCCTGGCATGCCCCCCTGTCCATTAGCTCTGGGGCAGCTACTATGTGTTCACGCAGCTCGAGCTTAAGATCGAGATCAGTTCGGTCAGGACTCGGATGCAAAGGAGGACTCGATCCACGAGGCTATAGAGCACAATCGCGGCATGGCACATCGCAATTCAGCACGGCGCAGCACAGCACAGATTTCGGCACGGTACATCAAGATCGATACACTCAGCATTGCAACTTGGCACGTTCCGTGGCACGTTCCGTGGCGCGTCCCTTGGCGAGTCTCCCTGGCATGTCGCGTGGCGCGTCCCCTGGCACATCCCGTGGCACATCCATTGGCACGTTCCGTAGCGCGTCCCTTTGGCACGTCCCGCGGTGCGACCCCATGGTATGTCCCCTGGCACGTCGCCTGGCGCATCCCTTGGGACGTTTCGCGGCGCGTCCTCCTGACATGCTCCCCTGTCTATCAGCTCTGGGGCAGCTACTATGTGTTCAGGCAGCTCGAGCTTAAGATCGAGATCAGTTCGGTCAGGACTCGGATGCAAAGGAGGACTCGATCCATGACGCTATAGAGCACAATCGCGGCATGGCACATCGCAATTCAGCACGGTGCAGCACAGCACAGCCCTCGGCAGGGTACATCGAGATCGATACATTCAGCATTGCATGTGCCCGTCACCCAATCAGGTGTCTTTGAAAACGCTGCCATGTGTTACAGTTCTATATTCCTTTCCGGGTTCGTGGGTCGATCATGTTTCGTGTCCAGGCCACATAGGAGGGGTATCTAATATAGTTGCCCCGAGCTGGAACCATGTGATTTTTCGTGTCCAGGCCACCCAGGGGTGTATCTGACATGGTTTTTCCCGGAAAGGGCGTGGGCCCAGGGTTCTCTTTTAGTTGGTTAACCCCCCGGCCCCCCTGCGACTTGGGCCGGCGAAATTATTTTGCGAGCGGGCACGCACGGAGGAGGGCCGGCGAAATCATTTTTGAGGATGTCTCGAGCGAAACGCTTGTTTTTCAGAATTTGTTGAGGATGTCTCGAGCGAAACGCTGGTTTTGCAGAGTTGGGGATGTCTCGAGCGAAACGCTTGGTTTCAGAATTTGTTGAGGATGTCTCGAGCGAAACGCTGGTTTTGCAGAGCCGACCGCGACACGGAAAAGCGCTCCTCGCGCAGGAATTCCGAGGATGTCTCGCGCGTGCCGCGTCCCGCACGCAGGAATTTTGATTTCTTTGGGTTTTGACAGGATTTCTCAAGCGAAACGCTTGTTTTTCATAATTTGTTGAGGATGTCTCGAGCGAAACGCTGGTTTTGCAAAATTGGGGGATGTCTCGAGCGGGGGCCTCGTGGGGGGCCAGAATTCAGAGGATATCTCAGGCGCAATGTTTGTTTTCGTGTCCCGCTCGCAGGAATTCCGAGGATGTCTCGCGCGTGCCGCGTCCCGCGCGTAGGAATTCGGATGATTGTGATAGGATGTCTCGAGCGAAACGCTTGTCCCCAGCACGTTCAGTAGCGCGTCCCCTTGGCACGTCCCGCGTTGCGACCCCATGGCACGTCCCCTGGCACGTCGCCTGGCGCATCCCTTGGGACGTTTCGCGGCGCGTCCTCCTGGCATGTTCCCCTTGTCAATTAGCTCTGGGGCAGCTATTATGTGTTCAGGCAGCTCGAGCTTAAGATCCAGATCAGTTCGGTCAGGACTCGGATGCAAAGGAGGACTCGATCCACGGCGCTATAGAGCACAACCGCGGCATGGCACATCGCAATTCAGCACGGTGCAGCACAGCACAGCCCTCGGCAGGGTACATCAATATCGATACACTCAGCATTGCAACTTGGCACGTTCCTTGGCACGTTCCGTGGGGCGTCCCTTGGCGAGTCCCCCTGGCACGTCGCGTGGCGCGTCCCCTGGCACATTCCGTGGCACATCCATTGGCACGTTCCGTAGCGCGTCCCTTTGGCACGTCCTACGGTGCGACCCCATGGCGCGTCCCCTGGCACGTCGCCTGGCGCATCCCTTGGGACGTTTCGCGGCGCGTCCTCCTGGCATGTTCCCCTGTCCATTAGCTCTGGGGCAGCTACTATGTGTTCAGGCAGCTCGAGCTTAAGATCCAGATCAGTTCGGTCAGGACTCGGATGCAAAGGAGGACTCGATCCACGACGCTATAGAGCGCAGTCGCGCCATGGCACATCGCAATTCAGCACGGCGCAGCACAGCACAGCCCTTGGCAGGGTAATTACATCAAGATCGATACACTCAGCATTGCATTTGCCCGTCACCCAATCAGGTGTCTTTGAAAACGCTGCCATGTGTTACAGTTCTATATTCCTTTCCGGGTTCGTGGGTCGATCATGTTCCCAGCTTAAGCAATGTTTTTTTTGGTGCCCATGCCACCCACGGGGGTATCTAACATGGTTGTCTCGAGCTGGAACCACGTGTTTTTTGGTTTAGGTGTCTAGGCCACCCAGGTGGGATATCTAGCATGGTTGTCCCCAGCTGGAACCACGTGCTTTTTCGTGTCCAGGCCATCCAGGAGGGGTATCTAATATAGTTGCCCCGAGCTGGAATGTGATTTTTCGTGTCCAGGCCACCCAGGGGTGTATCTGACATGGTCGCCCGGAGCTGGTCCCACCTGTGTTTTCGTGTCCAGGCCGCCCAGGGGGGTATCTAACATGATTGTCCCGAATTGGAGCCACGTGGTTTTCGTGTCCAGGCCGTCCAGGGGGGTACTTAACGTGGCGGAGCCAGGTGCTTTAACGTGTTCAGGCCACCTAGGGGATATCTAACATGGGCTTCCTGGGGCCTTCCCGGGGGCCTGGAACGGACGTCTAGCATGAAGATGTGTTGAGGATGCCTCGAGCGAACGACTTGTTTTCACGTGTCCAGTTCGCCCAGGCGGATGTCTAGCATGAGGTGGCACGTCCATTGGCAAGTTCCGTAGCGCGTCCCCTTGGCACGCCCTGCGGTGCGTACCCGACGGCGCGTCCCCTGGCACGTCGCCTGGCGCGTCCCTTGAGACGTTCCGCGGCGCGTCCTCCTAGCATGTTCCCCTGTCAAGTAGCTTTGGGGCAGCTACTATGTGCTCAGGCAGCTCGAGCTTAAGATCTAGATCCGTTCGGTCAGGACTCGGATGCAAAGGAGGACTCGATCCATAGAGCACAATCGCGGCATGGCACATCGCAGTTCAGCACGGCACAGCACAGCACAGCCCTCGGCACGGTGCATCAAGATCGGTACACTCAGCATTGCAACCTGGCACGTTGCTTGGCACGTTCCGTGGCGCGTCCCGTGGCAGTCCCCCTGGCACGTCGCGTGGCGCGTTCCCTGGCACGTCCCGTGGCACGTCCATTGGCACGTTCCGTAGCGCGTCCCCTTGGCACGCCCCGCGGTGCGTCCCGATGGCACGTCCCCTGGCACGTCGCCTGGCGCGTCCCTTGAGACGTTCCGCGGCGCGTCCTCCTAGCAGGTTCCCCTGTCAAGTAGCTCTGGGACAGCTACTATGTGCTCAGGCAGCTCGAGCTTCAGATCCAGATCAGTTTGGTCAGGACTCGGATGCAAAGGAGGACTCGATCCACGACGCTGTAGAGCACAATCGCGGCATGGCACATCGCAGTTCAGCTCGGCGCAGCACAGCACAGCCCTCGGCACGGTACATCGAGATCGATACATTCAGCATTGCATTTGCCCGTCGCCCAATCAGCTGTCTTTGAAACGTCGCCATGCCTTACAGTTCTATATTCCTTTCCGGGTTCGTGGGTCGATCATGTTCAGCATCAGGGTCATAAGTGGTGAGGACGTCTTAGGCGAAGCGCTTGGTCCGTCTTTCCGACCGGCTTCGGGGTGCCACAGGGAGGAGGTGTTTATAAGGAAAGGGAATGGAGGAAGAGGAGGAGGAGGGGCCAACTACGCGACAGGGATCCCCGACTAGCCCAACAGGATGGAGTTCTACATTGTCGGTTCGGGTTTTCCTTTCGAGAAAATGACCAAACCAAAGCTGGATCGCCTCCCCCTCCTTGGTCTGGTGAGGGTATACCCCTTGTTGTGGAGTGGCAGGAAGGGATCTAGTGTCAGCGTCAGCGCTTCTGTTGGGGACCTGCGACCTCCAGGCGCGTGCTGCCCAACTTGGAGGGAGGGTTGAAGGAGGAAAGGAGGGAGAGAGGAAGAGAGGGAACCAGGAGGGAGGGAGGGACAGGGAGAGAGGAACGGGGAGGAAGCAGCGTCACCCCTTCTCTGTGGGGACCCCCAGCGCCTGCCCCCCTCCCACTGGGCGGCGGCGGTCGGACGTGCCGAGAGGCGGCGAGCGGGGCGGCGTGCCAGATGCCGTGCGTCGGCGAAACCGCGGTGCCCCCGAAGCCGGGTCCCACGATCTTCTGCTTCGCCGTGGCGAACGAGGACGCGGCAGGGAGGTGGAGGAGGAAGCGGATAAGGATGATGGTGATGATGATGATGATGATGATGATGATGATGATGATGGTTGTGATGCTGATGTTGTTGTTGATGATGATGATGATGATGATGATGATGATGATAATGCTGATGCTGATGCTGATGCTGATGCTGATCATGATGATGCTGATGATGATGATGCTGATGATGCTGATGATGATGCTGCTGCTGCTGATGATGATGATGATGATGATGATGAGGACGAGGAGGAGGAAGAGGAGGAGGACCAGTGTAAACCCAATACTCATCAATGATATCTGGACACACCCTCCCTCCAAGCTCTCTCTTCATAGGCCCAATACAAGGATGCACTTGGGACGTGCCCCGTTGGGGGACAACCGTGTGAACATGTCGAAGCGAGCCAAAACGCCATTCTCAGGTCTTCATCGGCACGAGTTAACCTGAGTGTTGCGTCTTGGCGATCCTGAATCGTGTCAGAACACCATTCCTGGAATCTCAGCACTGCGGATCAACGTAGCCGTTGCGCCCTGACAGTCTTTCAGGAAGGTTGACCATGAGAATCTGCAACGCTCTTGCCGTTGCTTAATACGAGCGTGCGCGGCGCTGAGCCGAGAACTACATTTTGAAGAGGAATCGCCCTGCCTCTGTGAAGCTCCTGCATTTTTCCCGGAAAGGGTTTAGGCCCAGGGTTCTCTTTTCCCGGAAAGGGCTCGGGCCCAGGGTTCTCTTTTAGTGTGTTCACCCCCGTGTAGGGCCGGCCGAAATTATTTTGCGATAGATATCGAGGACGAGTAGGGCCGGCGAAATTATGTTTCAGGATGTCTCGAACGAAACGCTTGTTTTTCAGAATTTGTTGAGGATGTCTCGAGCGAAACGCTTGTTTTGTGTTATAGATTGTCCTCTCCAGGGGACCTGAAATCAGAGGATCTCCTAAGTGAAATGCTTGCTTTCACGTGCCCAGGTCTTGAGGATGTCTCGAGCGAGACACTTGGTTTCACGCCTCCAGGTTGCCCAGACAGATGTCTAGCATGATGATTCGTTGAGGATGTCTCGAACCAGAGGCTTGTTTTCACGTGTCGAGGTCGGCCAGGCTGATGCCCAGCATGAGGATGTGTTGAGGAAGTCTCGATCGAGACGCTTGTTTGCACGTGTCCAGGTTGCCCAGGCGGATGTCTAGCATGAGGATGTGCTGAGAACGTCTTGAGCGAAACGCGTGTTTTCACGTGTCCAGGTCGCCCAGGCACAGCACAGCCCTCGGCACGGTACTTCAATATCGATACCCTTAGCATTGCAGTCTGGCATGTTGCCTGGCACGTTCCGCGGAGCGTCCCGTGGCGAGTCCCCCTGGCACGTCGCGTGCTGCACGTCCATAGGCACGTTCCGTAGCGCGTCCCCTTGGCACGTCCCGCGGTGCGTGCCCATGGCACGTCCCCTGGCACGTCGCCTGGCGCGTCCCTTGGGACGTTTCGCGGCGCGTCCTCCTTGCATGTCCCCCTTTCAATTAGCTCTGGGGCAGCTACTGTGTGTTCAGGCAGCTCGAGCTTAAGATGCAGATCAGTTCGGTCAGGTCTCGGATGCAAAGGAGGACTCGATCCACAACGCTATATAGGGCACAATCGCGGCATGGCACATCGCAGTTCAGCACGGCCCAGCACAGCACAGCCGTCGGCACGGTACATCAAGACCGATACACTCAACATTGCACCTTGGCACGTTCTGTGGGGCGTCCCTTGGCGAGTCCCCCTGGCACGTCGCGTGGCGCGTCCCCTGGCACGTCCCGCGGCACGTCCACTGGCACGTTCCGTAGCGCGTCCCCTTGGCACGTCCCGCAGTGCGTGCCCATGGCACGTCCCCTGGCACGTCGCCTGGCGCGTCCCTTGAGACGTTCTACGGCGCGTCCTCCTGGTATGTCCCCTCAGTCGATTAGTTCTGGGGCAGCTACCATCTGCTCAGGCAGCTCGAGCTTAACATGCAGATCAGTTCGGTCAGGACTCGGATGCCAGGGAGGATTCGATCCACAATGCTATATAGAGCACAATCGCGGCACGGCACATCGCAGTTCAGTACGGCGTAGCACAGCACAGCCCTCGGAACAGTACATCAAAATCGATACAGTCAGCATTGCATTAGCCCGTCGCCCAATCAGGTGCCTTACATTTCTATATTCCTTTCCGGGTTCGTGGGTCGATCATGTTAGTGTGTTTACCCCCGGTTCTGACGGCTGTAGGGCCGGCGCATTTATGTTGCGATAAATAACAAGGTCGCGTGGGGCCTGCGAATTAGAATTTTGAAGATCTTTCGAGCGAAACGCTTGTTTTTCAGAATTTGTTGAGGATGTCTCGAGCGAAACGATTGTTTTGTGTTATAGATGGTCCTCTCCTGGGGACCAGAATTCAGAGGATCTCTCAAGTGAGATGCTTGTTTTCACGTGCCCAGGTCTTGAGGATGTCTCGAGCGAGACGCTTGGATTCGCGCCTCCAGGTTACCCAGGCAGAGGTCTAGCGCCAGGATTTGTCGAGGATGTCTCGAGCGAGACGCTTGTTTTCACGCGTCCTCGTCGCCCAGGCGGATGTCTAGCATGAGGATGTGTTGAGGAAGTCTCGGTCGAGATGCTTGTTTGCACGTGTCCAGGTTGCCCAGGCGGATGCCTAGCATGAGGATGTGTTGAGAATGTCTCGAGAGATACGCTTGTTTTCACGTGTCCAGGTCGCCCAGGCGGATGTCTAACATGAAGATGTGTTGGCAACGTCTCGAGCGAAACGTTTGTTTTCACGTGCCCAGGTCACCCAGGCGGATGTCTAGAATGAGGAGGTGTTGAAAACGTCTCGAGCGAAACGCTTGTTTTCACGTGCCCAGGTCACCCAGGCGGACGTCTCACATGAAGATGCGTTGAGGATGTCTCGAGCGAACCACGTGTTTTCACGTGTCCAGTTCGCCCAGGCGGATGCCTAGCATGAGAATGTGTTGAGGATGTGTTAAGCGAAACGCTTGTTTTCTCAGGCGGATGTCTAGCATGAGGATTTTGGCAGGATGTCTCGAGCGTAACGCTTGTCCCCAGCACGTGCCGTAGCGCGTCCCCTTGGCACGTCCCGCGGTGCGTCCCTATGGCACGTCCCCTGGCACGTCGCTTGGCGCGTCCCTTGAGACGTTCCGCGGCGCGTCCTCCTGACATGTCCCCCTGTCAATTAGCTCTGGGGCAGCCGCTAGCTCGAGCTTAAGATCCAGATCAGTTCGGTCAGGTCTCGGATGCCAGGGAGGACTTGATCCACAACGCTATATCGAGCACAATCGCGGCATGGCACATCGCAGTTCAGCACGGCGCAGCACAGCACAGACTTCGGCACAGTATATCAAGATCGATACTTTCAGCATTGCAGCCTGGCACGTTCCTTGGCACGTTCTGTGGGGCGTCCCTTGGCGAGTCTCCCTGGCACGTCGCGTGGCGCGTCCCCTGGCACATCCCGTGGCACATCCATTGGCACGTTCCGTAGCGCGTTCCCTTGGCACGTCCCGCGGTGCGACCCCATGGCACGTCCCTTGGCGCGTCGCCTGGCGCGTCCCTTGGGACGTTTCGCGGCGCGTCCTTCTAGCATGTCCCCCTTTCAATTAGCTCTGGGGCAGCTACTGTGTGTTCAGGCAGCTCGAGCTTAAGATGCAGATCAGTTCGGTCAGGTCTCGGATGCAAAGGAGGACTCGATCCACGACGCTATAGAGCACAATCGCGGCATGGCACATCGCAGTCCAGCACGGTGCGCACAGCACAGCCCTTGGCAGGGTATATCCAGATTGATACACTCAGCATGGCATTTGCCCGTCACCCAAACAGGTGTTTCTGAAACGTTGCCATGCCTTACGTTTCTATATTCCTTTCCGGGTTCGTGGGTCGATCATGTTTGAGACAAAAGCACTGTTTTGCGCGGCGCTCAGGCGAGAGCCACATTTTGAACAGGAGCCGCCCTCACTCCGTGAAGCTCTTGCACATTCCCGGAAGGGCGTGGGCCCTGGGTTCTCTTTCAGTTCCCAACCCTTCTTGGTTGGGTGTTCGTTTTGAATAGAGCACTGCGGTAGCGTCCCCTTCTCCTCCTCCTCCTCCTCCTCCTCCTCCTCCTCCTTCTCTCGCCTCCCGCCTCCCGCCTTGTGCGTACCTCTTGTGTGTGCATTTTGCCTGTGCGTACCTCTTGTGTGTGCATCTTGCCTGCGGTACCTCTTGTGTGTGCATCTTGCCTGGGGGGCTGCGATTTGCGAAACTGTCGCCACTTTCGAGGGCTGCTGGGGGGACAGCATAGTGGGTAGCCGCCGCAGACACACATTAGACCTCGCTTTCCCTGGGGGACCTTCGATTTGCGAAACTATCGCCGCATTCGAGGGCTGCTGGGGGGGACAGCATATTGGGTAGCCGCCGCAGACCCAAAGTAGACTTCGCCATCCCTGGGGGGTTGCGATTTGCGAAACTGTCGCCGCATTCGAGGGCTGATGGGGGGGACAGCATAGTGTGTAGCTGCCGCAGACCCAAATTAGACCTCACCATCCCCGGTGGGCTACGATTTGCGAAACCGTCGCCACCTTCGAGGGCTATTTGGGGAGGACAGCACAGTGCGTAGCCGCCGCAGACTCAAAGTAGACCTCGCCATCCCTGGGGGGCTGCGATTTGCGGAACTGTCGCCACGTTCGGGCTGCTGGGGAGGCCATCATATTGGGTAGCCGCCGCATATTCAAATTTGACCTCGCCATCCCTGGGGGTCTTGCGGTTTGCAAAATTGTCGCCACTTTCGAGGGCTGCTTGTGGGGCCAGCATAGTGGGTAGCCGCCGCAGACCCAAATTTGACCTCGCCATCCCTGGGGGCCTTGCGATTTGCGAAACTGTCGCCACTTTCGAGGGCTGCTTGGGTGGCCAGCTATAGTGGGTAGCCGCCGTAGATCCAAATTAGACCTCGCCATCCTTGGGGGGCTGCGATTTGCGAAGCCGTCGCCACTTTCGAGGGCTG